GCTGGGAACAAGGGGCAGAGGAGGGGAGGAAACCACCTGCAGGATACCTGCGCTGTCAGTGTCCTGGGCTGTGACTCGCTCCCTGCCGAGCTTCTGTCCTTGCTGGCGAGGACTTCTCCGTGGCTTGGGGCTCCCTGGCTTATGCCCCCGAGGAGACATTTTGCAGAGAACCGCATCGTGATGCTAGCTGAACATCGAATCGCCAGACAAGGCGATTGCATTGCATCCTTTGCAAAACTCCTCAGAGAAACCATCTTCAACATTCCCTAGACAATAAGCAGACTATCAAATTCTTTTTAGAATTTGATGCTTGAGAAGGATTTTCTGCCCCGAGCAATCTAAGTCCTCTTTGGTTGGAAGAAACACTTGCTTGTTGCCTTGCTGCTAGAAGGCTCCGATGCATTTTTTGCTGCTTAATGGCCTCAGCTCCCCTCAGGCTGGGTTCTGGGGGAGAACCATCTTCCCACTCACCATGGCTGCGCTTTGGCTCATTTACCTTTGCTTTCAGTGCTTTCTTGCACCTTTTATTTAAACCGCCTCATCTCCTTTGGATAGGGCTGACAGTTAAGAATGTGGGCCCCTCCTCCCAGTTAGTAAGGCTAGCAGAAACCAGGGTCCCAACATGGGTGCCATGACAAAGTCTATGGTGATGATCATGGCCCTGGTCCCTCCTCCCAAAGTCTGGAGCCGAGAGAACCATGGTGAGTTCAAGGTCCAGGCTGCCTGAACCAAGATACTAGGAAAGGCAGTTTAGGGGGAGTCGGGAGGCTCAGCTCCCCTAAAGAGTGGATGAAGCCATTGTCCTCCAGTTGTGGTGGCCAACAAGTGCCTGAGACTAAGTAATTGAAATTCCCACATTCAATGAGAGGAGAGAGAACGTGTGTGCATGGGTATCGTGTGTGTGTGTGTGTGTGTGTGTGTGTGCATGAAAGAGAGAGAGAGAGGAAGAGAGAATATCGTTTTGGGTGTGTGAGCTGGCGGGGCCCAAGGATCAGCCCCAGAATGGTGCTTGTGTATCCCTGCTATCAGTGGGGAGGTCTGGGAGCGCTCTTTCCAGAGGCTGACCTCCAAGGATGGGTCTGAGGCCGAGGTTGGCCAGAATCTGGTCTGACACCAGGAGGCCGAGATCCGGGGAGGTGCTGGGAGACAGGCAGCGTGATCCTGCTGGCAGAACTGGAGATCCCAGGATCCTGGGCCTTCTTGCCTGCGGTCTGGCTTTGGCCGGCAGAGTGAGGCGTGGTCCCTGGAAAAGGAACCAAGACAAGAATGAGGGCGTGGGAGGATTTGCTTCAGTTGCCCGCTATCGAATCGGAGCCCTTTTGGAGCTGCCCTGCTCGGCCTGTGGATTTCAGTCCCATCTGGTGATGTGACAATGGTCAGGTGGCCCTTGGGTGTCTGGGGGCCACTATTGGGCCTCGGCCTAGCCTTAGCATAAACGGATCTGCCGGAGGAATATGGTCTGCTGGCTGAAGAGCTAGACTTCGAATGTTGGCCTTAAGCTGCACTCCCTGAGCCTGGGTTCTCTTGAGCATGACGTTGGGATGATAATAACAGCCTCCCCGGTGGCTGACAGGGTCACAGACGATGCTGGAAGGGCCTTTGCAACCTGTGTGGCATCATATCCAATTTCCAGTGCTCTCGCTTACCCGTGTCCTTCTCTTCCCCTCACTCTGACCTCAGGGCAATTGCTGGCACGTTCGTCACCAGACCCAGTTCCTGGGACACAGAAATGGACTAGGTTCTCACGGTGGGTGAATGTGGCCTGTGACTGAAGTCCAGGCTTTGCCCAGCCCCACTTTCAGGTGTCCTCCGGCCTCTTCCCCCCGCACCAACCCGATGCGGGTGGAGTCACGGGATGGAAGGAGCCAGCGTCCCTGCGGGTGTCACTTGCGAAGAAAGTGGCCGTCAGGTGAAACACCCAATTTGGACTTTACGTGGAGTGAGAAGGAAACTTTCGTTGTGTTTGAGTCATTAGTTGTTTGGGCCTGTTTGTTGCAGTAACTGGTATCATTCTAGCAAATTCTTCAAGAAGAGAAGCTAAGTGAGGGCAGCGATGGAGGCCATGAGTTTTTCCGATGAAATGCTGGCCATCTTCCTAGGCGCTCCCCCGCCAGCCTACTCCCGCTGATGTGTTCTAGATCACGCTAACTTTTTAAACATCAAACACTGCAGTGCTGAGTTACTCAGTACACAATTGAAAGGGCTTTGGATTTGTAACAAAAATTCAAAAAAGGTTTTTAAGTGTTTGTTTTTGAGAGACAGAGGAGGGCACGTGCGTCTGGTTGGGGGTTGGGGAGGGGGAGACGGAGAGGGGGACAAAGGATCCGAAGCAGGCTCTGCCCCGGCAGCAGGTTCGAACCCACGAACCCTGAGATCGTGACCTGAGCTAAAGTCGGACGCTTAACCGGCTGAGCCACCCAGGGGCCCCTGAAAACTCAAATTTGGAGAAGGGCAGGCTTGAAAGCAGCAGCCAGAAGGGCAGGGTGGGGAAGGAGTGGGTAAGAGGGACAGGCACATTGGGACTGTGGGGGCCATGACACTACCACTGCCAAACCAGTGTGCGTTCCTTGGTTTCTCATAGAAAACCTTTTGTACATCTATTTTTTTCCCCTTCCACACTTAAGTCTATTGGCGCCCAGATACGTCCGTTCCATTTTTTGGTCTCACTTCTGCTGGTGAAATTACAACATAACATCGCATTTACTCCATTTCCTGTCCCATGTGGGAAACTGAGAAGATTTCAAATATTTTCTTCAGCTTTACGATAAGCTGCCAGCCAGTCACTCTTCTGCATCTCATCCCTGGACACTAAATTTTTTTTTAAATTTATTTTTGAGACAGAGAGAGACAGAGCATGAGCAGGGGAAGGGCAGAGAGAGAGGGAGACACAGAATCGGAAGCAGGCTCCAGGCTCCGAGCTGTCAGCACAGAGCCCGATGCGGGGCTCGAACCCACGAACCGTGAGATCATGACCTGAGCCAAAATCAAGAGTCAGATGCTCAAGCGACTGAGCCTCCCACTCGCCCCTAGAATTTACCTTCTTTGGTGAGCTGGAGCTGGGTGGCATTTTTGGAGTTGCCTTTAGCTGTGTCCTCTGAATCTCTGGCTGTGGTCCTGCCTTTGACAGATTTGTGGCTCTTCTCAACTTCACGGAGCTGCAGGAGAAATAATTAGTTCTCAGGGAAATGAGTGTTTGAGGCTCAGAGCCTAGGATGTTGAGATCTAGGGGGACAAGGACTCCGTCTTCAGTTCTTGTCGGTCCTCACCACTGGTTGAAGAGGGACAGCCCAAGACTCAGGTTTGCACAGTATTTGAAGGAACATCTGGCCAGGGGAGGACAGAAACCTCGCCAGTCCTCCATTTCAAGGCTTTCTGGAATCTGGGCAGGAGGATGGTGAGATTAACAGAGGGAGATGTGGATAGGGAAGTGGCTTCGAGGCAAATGAAATTATTCCAGAAGTGGGGGGGGGGGGCAAGGAGCCAGGAAGACAAGGCTCAGAGAGGGTTGGGGTCTGCCCTTTCCCATGTGTAGGAGGGGTTTGTGGGCCGGGAGAGTGGAAAAGAGCAGTCAAAAGTCAGCTGGTGGAGAGGGGGAGAGGGAGAGAGAAACAGTGGCGAGGGGCTTAAGAGACCCCTTAGGCCCTGGGCACAAGCACTAAGTCATTTTGACAATATTTTCTCTAGTGTTTACTGTGTTAGCTTTAAACTGTAGGTATTATTATGGGTACTGGTTTTACTGAAATTTTTACTGGTTTTATTGAATTTCTCCTGTTCGTTAGCAACCTCTCCAGATCGAAGGTGTTATTATTGTGTGCCCCCCCAAATATCCTCAGAACATAAATGCGTGTTGTTCGATCTTACAAGGCTTCCTGCAATACGGATAGTTTGGGATTTCGTTTAGAAGAAAGCCATGTAGATCGTACAGCTGGGCTCAAAGAGCGAATCAGCAGAAGACAAAAACGTGACATCTGTTTGAGCGAAAACTCCCGACAGACTCACCGCTTGGATTTTCTTTCTCAGCTGGGCATTCGCTCGGGAAAGGCTTTTGGAAACCGAGTTCAGGTAGTAGATGGCCAGGCTGCAAGAGAAAAGTGAGCCTCCTGTGATACCGCAGTCTTGGAAAGTGACAAGAGCTGGATCCCTTCCAGAGGAATCAAGGCCGGCTTCCCGGAGTAGGTTGGCCTCTGGGCAGGCTGGAGGGATAAAACACCTACTCTCCTGTCTCCACTTAGTGCGGGGGAGGTTCTGGACACCTGTGCCTTCTGTTTTATTCAATGTGGAAATGACATACACATTTTTAGCTCTCAGAGTGCTCAGTAAAGCCTTCCTTCTTGGAAATCTGAAGAGGTGGGGGAGGGGCAGGGTCTCCTGACCCTGCTTCCTGGGTACCTGCCCTGTGTCAGGCTCCGCGCCACGTGCATCCCACTCCACATCTCAGCGGTCTTCACCAAAACCCCATGAGGTAGAAAGGACGATCTTTTCCAGATCAGCAACCTGGAATGGTGAGACGTTCAGGAGTTTGCCCGAGGTGGCCCCATCTATCAGTTCTTGGGGGAGCCCGCATTTAGCTAAAGCTCTTTTCCACAGGCCTCGAGGGCTGAGAGAGGAGAGTCTGGGCGCTAGGTGCCTGCTCCAAGTTTGCTTGAAAACACAGCTGCCGAAGTCCTGGAGGTCCCTGCTTAGGGAGCACTGTCTTGGGCTGATGGTTTTCAAGGTCCAGCTCCTACCGGCTGCCTAGGCGTCCTTTGAGGCCAGAGCGTGGGCTTCCCTTTCACAGGACCTGAGATCGGGGGGGTTGTGACTTGGGTGCACCACCTGAGAGGACAGGGGCCACAAAAGCCGAGGTGCCACCCGGATGGGGTGCTGTGTCGGCCTGTTCCTTGGGGGCTTTTGTGGTTCATCCTTATTTGTCACTTTTCTCCCTGGATTTCAAGCCTTAGCTGCTCCGGCTTGGGTCTTCTAAGCTTTCCCCTCAGGGTGGGGCCCGCTCAGGGCAACTCCAGTCGGCCAGCTCCCTCCCGCCAGAGGGGAGGAATCACCTTGTCTTCGGGGCACAGCGTGGGCCCCAGACTGTCATGGGAGCCTCCTGCAGGAGAGACTCAGAGGAGAGAAGGGAGGACAGGCAGGGGGAGCAGAATCTGTTGTGCAAGTCCCTGCTCTGTGCCAGGCCTCACCTTCTCTCCTAGTTAACAACCCATTTATTAGGGAGGAATCGGAGGTGGGAGAGGATGAAATCCTCATGGGTGGCTGTGTCCCTCCGTCCCCAAATTTAGCACTTCCTGGTGCCACCTGCAAGGGTCAGGCTTGGTGTGTGGGTTCCAGAATTTCCTCAGGCGGTCAAGGCATAGGCCAGGTTGTCACCATCATCCCAGTCCTCTCTCAGGCCAGGATGAGAGAGGCTGATGTTCCAATCAAGGATGGGAGGAAATACACCTATTTGGGGGAGCACTTCAGCACTATCTAAAAGGACTGGAAAGGGGCGCCCGGGTGGCTCAGTCGGTTATGTGTCTGGACTTTGGCTCAGGTCATGATCTCATGGTCCGTGAGTTCGAGCCCCGTGTCAGGCTCTGTGCTGACAGCTCGGAGCCTGGATCCTGCCTCGGATTCTGTGTCTCCCTCTCTTCTCTGCCCTTCGCCTGCTCTGCCTCTCTCTCTCAAATAAATACATACATACACACATAAAATAAAACAAAACAAAATAAAATAAAATAAAATAAAATAAAATAAAATAAAATAAAATAAAATAAAATAGAAAGATTGAAGAAACTCATACCCACAATTCCCTACTCCACTTCCCATGGTCTGTCCTAGGGAATCCCTCACATTTGCCCAACGACCACATCTGCAGTAGCAAAAAAGTGGAAACAATCTACCCACCTCTAGGCAGAGGGGTGGATAAACTGTGGTTTAATCATACAGCAGATGGGAGTACAGCCATTAAAATGTGTGCTCATGTATTCCCCAAACATAATGTTGAGTGAGGAAAGCTATGCTGGGTGAACCATTCACGAAAAAATTTAAAGCCCAGAAAACAATAGGACACGGCCAACGTGATGAAAATACCAAACCATGTGTGCAAATGGTTCCAAGAGCGGTTACTTTGGGAGAGAGAGAGAGAGAGAGGGAGGGAGAGAGCAGGATTAGGTGGGACTTGAAGTGTTATCTGTAACATTTTATTTCGTGGAAAGTGACAGATCTGAAGCAAACACTGCAAAATATTAACATCTGTTTACTCTTGGAATCATGTTCATGGTTGCCTCTACTTTTCTGTAGGTTAGGAATATTTCACAATACATAATTTTTTTTTATTAAAAAAATTTTTTGCTTTGTTATTGTACAGAGACAGAGAAGAGAACAGAGAGAGAGAGAGGGGAAACACACGTAAAACAGGGACAAGAAAGGGGAGACCTAGGGCTCAGGCTCAGGCTCAAAGCCAGGCCATCAGCTGAAACCCTGGCCTTGACTTTCAGGCCTCCTTGGTCGTGACCATAATGAAGTCGGACAACAACACCGACTATCGCCACCAAGCGCCCATACATAATTCTTTAAATGTTGTTTATTTTCAGAGAGACACAGAAGTGCATCTGGAGAGAGCAGGGAGACACAGAATCCAAAAAGCAGGCTCCAGGTCTCTGGCTGTCGATCAGAGCCTGACGCGGGCTGAACTCGGACTCCAATAAGCTCGATAAAGTCTGATGCTTAACTGACTGAGCTACCCAGGTGCCCCAGGAATATTTCACAATTAAAAAAAAAAGCATGCCAAAAAAAGATTTTTATGAAGAAAAATACCCTAATATTTTCACTAGTACATTAAAAATTTTTTTAACCTTTATTTATTAAAAAAATTTTTTTAACGTTTATTTAGTTTTGAGAGAGACAGAGAGACAAAGTGTGAGCTGGGGAAGGGGCAGAGGAGCACAGAACTCGAGAAGCAGCTCCCAGGCTCCAGCTGAGAGTCCCGGCGTGGGACCCACCTGAACCATGAGACTGAAGTTGGGCGCTTAACCGATTGAGCCACCCAGGTGCCCCAACATTTATTTATTTTTGAGCCACAGAGAGAGTATGAATAGGGGAGGGGCAGGCAGTGACAAATTAGAAGTAGCTCAGGCTCTGAGCTGTCAGCACAGAGCCCGATGCGGGACTCAACTCACAAACTGTGAGATCATGACCTGAGCTGAAATTGACAGCTTAACCATTGAAACCACCCAGGCGCCCCTCACTAGAACATTGTTGATGACAGTAATTCAAATTCAGGACTCTTGCTTCCCACCTTCTTTTCTCTCTTCCCTCGTTCCTTCCTTGACTATTTGTCATTTACTTCCTACGGCCTAGGCTGGTGTTGGGGGTACAGAAATCATCAAACCCACCCACTGTCCTCGGGGCTTTCTCAGTCTTCGGGAGGGAGAGTGGTGAGACCCAAATGTGCAGGTGCACGGCGTGCCCTGTGGAGAAGTCCTCCGGGGCCCAGCCAGGGACAGGCTGAATCAGCCCTCAGAGACTCAGAGCCCAGAAATCTTTGATATTTCTAGCGAACGTTTAGGAGAGTGCTGCAAAATACTGGCTTGCCCATCTGTATTCCTTGGACCCTGTCTTTCAGCGTGCTCCCCGAAAGACTTACAACTGCCAGTTCCTTCACCTCTGTGCCTGGAGTTTCCCTTCCACTCCCCTGCGGAATCCGTTCTACCCTCGAATGCACCTGACTCAAATGGCTGAGGAAACAACCCCTCTCCCCTTTGATCTCACCCAACCAGTGACCGATGGGTGCTGGTCTACGAAAGCCCCATCCCTCACCCTTGAGCAGGATGACTCAGACACACTGTTTCCCAGAGCCCCCCCCCCAACCCCCATCCACATCCACATTAAAATCATCCCAGTGATAATGACCTTCCTCCCTCACCAATTAACTATTTGCGTTTGAGTCTTCGTCTTGGGCTCTGCCTCTGGGAAGTGTAGATTAAGTAAGAGGGCAGGAAAGGAGGACCCGCCAGGGGAGTCTCAAGGGCAAGGGGAGGGGCCCTGGCTGACTTACAACATCAGCAGGATGGCTGGGATGATCAGGCCAGGGTTGGCGAGGAAAGCAAAGATCTTGCCCAGGAAGGTTGGAAAATCATTTTCAATCGTCTCTTGGATGACGTCATACATTCTGTTTTTCCCACTGTAGAGAGAATACATTACGGCACGTCAGAAAGCTCGCCTGACACACAACTGTGCCCCTGCCCCTGTGGGTCCAAAGCTGCCACTCACCCCTGCTTCCCTGGAAAACCCAGAGCTCTGCTCCAAATGGGCTGCAGGTGAAAAATGCCCCACGAGGAGCTGCCATTTGGCTACGGTTTAGAGCTGGGGCAGAGCCCTGGTTCGCCAGCTTCATGCTGGCCCGTTGGTCCCTCAAAACTTCTCAGACCGCATGGGTCTCCTGTGTCTGATACCTTCCTCCACAAGATGAAATGGGTTTTCTACGACACTCTCGTGGGAGAAAACTGCCTGCGAGATGTACCCGTAAGCCCAACATGGAGCTCCCTCTGGACCCCCTGGCTTGGAAACAGTTCTCCAGTGGCTTACGTGATAGACAACCTCAGGGTGACTCTCAAAAACACCTGCAATCAGTCTTCAGAGTATAGTTTCAGGAGAATGGACCATCTGGGACGGGCTCCTGGACAGGTCACAGCGATAATTTCGATTTTCTTCAAATACCTAAGAACCTCTACGTAGACTGACTTCCACAAGCACCTGCCCAGAAATCATGGTCCACTGCTAGCTTTGGCTGGTCGTTTCAGTGCTAAGACAATGGACTTTAGGGCTTGAAATTCCTGGTTCAAGTCCTTGCTCCTTCATTTATTAGCTGTGGGACACCGTGGATAATTTACTTATTCTCTTTCTTCCTGTGTCTATCTGTTCCCTCACTCTCCCCATTAGAGCAGTATTGTCCAGTGTAGCTATTGAAAAGAAACTAAACATTAAGTAAAATTAAGTAAAACTAAAACTTCAGGGTTTTAGTCACTGATTTCAAGTGCTCGGTAGTCATATGACTTGTAGCTACTGTATTTGAAGAGGAGATATGAAATGTTTTCCCTCGCATAGAAAATTTTATTGGACAGTGCTACGGGGGTTTGATATCTTTGGCCAAGGTACTGAAAATTTCTCTTCCTTAGTCGCCTCTTCTGTATAATATAGTATAATAATAATATAGTATAATATGGGATTATAAGCATAATAATAGTATTTGCCCCCGAGGGTAGTTTAGAGGACATAGATATGAATTTATATACAACATTGTGTATGGGACCGTCAGACTGTAAGTGCCCTCCAAAATGTTATAGCCAGAAGCTTCATTTTTCTCTTCTGGAAAGTATTGATCAAGGATTGGCAAATAATGGTCTACGGGCCAGATTTGGCTTGTTATTTTCATATGGCCCAAAAATGAAGAATGGTTTTTATGTACTTAAATGGTTGGGGGGGGGGGGTAAAGAAGAAGAATATTTTGTGATCCATAGAAACTGAAGTAGGAAATTCACATTTCGGTGTCAGTAGGGAAAATGTTATTGGAACACAGCCACTCTCATTTCTTTATATATGGTCTAGGGTTGTTTTTGTGCTACGATGGCAGACGATGAATAGTTGGGTCAGAGACCATTTGTCGCCATCTCAATGCTGAGTGCTATCGCACAGCAAACTATGAATTGCCCTGATGCAGTTATAACGACAGCATTTCAAGTGCCCTGCGTATGACCATATTATGACAGGTAATTAATTTTTTATTATTATCAGCACCTACCCGTCATGTAAACACAAGAAAAGCAAATGTCACGTGTTCTGATTTCAAGTCACAGTCAAGCATGGGTTATTTTGTCCTTGAATCGTGATGTATTAGATGATGTATTGGTTTCCAGTATGCGCTACAACAGATTCCCACACGGGTGACTTCAAATAATACAAATTTGTTCTCTTATCGTTCTGGAGGCCAGAAGTCTGACGTGTTTCACTGGGTTGAAACCAAGGCGTTGGGCATGGCTGCGCTCCCTTCAGAGGGAGGTTCCAGGGGAGAATCTGTTTCCTTGCCTTTTTTCAGTATCTAGACCTTTACTCCTTACATTCTTTGGCTCATGGCCCCTTCCTCTTTCTTCAAAGCCGGTGCCATAGAATCTTCAAATCTCTCTCTGCTTCCATGGTCACATCACTTTCTGTTTTTTCTGTGGTCAAATCTCCCTCTGTCTCCTTCTAATAAGGACACTCGTGATTTAGGACTCACCTGGATAATCTAGGATAATCTCCCCATCTCAAGATCCTTAACTTAATCACATTGGCAAAGGCCCATTTGCTGAATAAGCTACCACCCGCAGGTTGCAGGGATTAGGACATAAATATTTTGGGGAGCCGTTATTCAGCCCACCACTGCATCCTCTCTGGTCCCTGAAGATTCACATTTGTCCCACCTGCAAAACACATTCTTTGCCTTCTCTTCCTCCCCCAAAGTTGCAGCCCATTATGACATCAACCCAAAGTCCAAAATCTCATCTAAACATCATCAGCTCAAAAGTCCCAAATTTCATCATCTAAATCAGGTATAGATGTGACTCTGGATAGGATTCATCTTGGAGCAAAATTCTTGTCTATCTGTGGACCGGGGAAACCAGAAAACAAGTTCTTTACTCCACGAATACACTGGTCAGTCGGCCATAAGATAACAGTTAAAGCTGGCTTATATAACATTCTTAAAATTTTTAAAAATTTTTTAAATTTATTTTTGAGGGAGAGAGAGAGACAGAGCATGAGCAGGGGAGGAGCAGAGAGGGAGGGGGACACAGAATCCGAAGCAGGCTCCAGGCTCTGAGCTGTTAGCACAGAGTCCGATGCGGGGCTTGAACTCATGAACTGTGAGATCATGACCTGAGCCGAGGCCAGATGCTCAACCGACTGAACCACCCTGGAGCCCTGGCTTATATAACATTCTTAAGTACCTGGTGGGTCTTCCATGTAGGTTGTGGGAATTCAGTCCCTTAGACCAGAGGGTGGTACCCAGATCTTTTCTGGAGAATTCTCTCTCTACTTTTGGCTTCCGCTGGGGTGGTTGAGAGGATCCCAGTCACAAGCTTAAAAAAAAATCCTCTGCATGAATGAATATTCAGGTTTTTTGATTCTTCAGAAGCACTAGCAAAAAGTTGCCCAGGCTGCCCCTTCGTTTTCTCTTTCGAGTGTGCTTTCCTGACCATGAATTCGTTTTTAGGGTCTTTTTCAATCTGGATAAGGTTTTCCCAAATCATCAAGTTGTGGTTCCTTTTCTCTCGTCAGCTCTTTTCTCAATTTATCTCTTTCCTCTCACATTTCAGTTTAAAGCAAGAAGAAACCAGGCTGCACCTTCAACACTTTGCTTAGAAGTCTCCTTAGCCAAACATGCAAGTTCATGATTTATAAATTCAGATTTCCATACACTTGTTGGACATAATTCAGCGAAGCTTTCTGTTCTCTATATAGC